TCAGTTTTTTGTGAACTCTGTTCTTGCTGTATATTTTTCAGGACTGAAAAAACATCAGCTAAAGTGGGCTCTTTGCTAGCTTCGCTAGTATTTTGACTAAAACCTTTTTGTCGTGAAGTAACAGTTCCGGCCTCGCCAGAGCTGACAATCTTTGCCCCATTACTACTACTTGTATCGTCATTCTTGAAACGAGAATCATCTCCGGATGCTTTTCTTTTAGGGTTTTTTCCTTTTGCCTCATTTGAAGCACTAGAACCTTTCTTCAAAGATTTTGCATCAGTTGTAAAGAGCATGGCGTCCGCCATTGTTACTAAAAAATATCAACTGCCGTAAATCGGTCTAATTACCGTAAATTTACAACAGAGAAAAATAAATAAATAATAAACCCCTCGAGTTTATTTACTTGATTAAACAATAAATAATAACTACCTCGTCGTTATAGTAATAAAATATTTCGTTATAGAAGCTACAAATACAGACCACGTCTGCCTTCTATGAAATAAAGCTACGAACTGAAGCTACACATGCGCACGAACATCTCATCTGGTCCCGGAAACGGGATGACGTAGGTAAATTATGTGGATTCATATAATTTTAAAGATTAAAAAGATATATTCACAACATAAATTCTGAAGTTATATCAAATCTTTTAATTCCACAATGCTTATTCTTATGGTGAATTGAAAGATCTACTATACCTTCTTATTACAAAGGTTGTGTTGTACAAAACTTGTAATCACTGAAATGCCGTTCTTGATTTTGTATGTTATAAAACATCTTACTCGGAGAAGGACCACACCGAAAAAAACTACTATAATAATGATGATATTATATTCAAAATTATGCACTGGTTTATCTGTTATTGTTTCGTTTGTTTCATTTATATCTTAACATATATTCCTTATCTAAATGAGTTCTTATTCAATGTATTCTGCATTCATTTGTTTGATAATTTGAACTTTTCAATATGATAACCGACTTTTCATTTTTCGTTACGTAGAAGTTTGACAAACCAAATACTAATTCTGATCATTGAAAAGCTGGAATTTTGTTTAGTAATACTACAGGTGGTAAAAATTTTCAGCTGAATTTTAAAGAGTTAACTCCCTGAGGTGTTCTGTATCCCTTTTAATTTCCACTTTATATTTGTTTGATACGGTCATATATATTAGTTTTACGTTTATTTAAATTTAAATCCATTTCAGTGTGTACAATTTTAACAAAATCTTCATATTTATTGTCTAAATTTAACTGGTTTATTTCAGATTCCTCTTATTCAGTGATAAATGTGTTAAGCTTTCAGTGAATGCGTACATTTATACTCTTAACTCAGTACTTGTTGTCGGTTTTTTTTTCATTGTTTATATACTTCCTATTGATCAGACGAACAACGCACTTTCCAACTGTTTGGTAGTTCTTGCTGTTAAACCACTAGATTCATTATTCAAATGTGACGTCACTTTGTGTGTTTTTTTTTAGAATTTCAAATGTGACGTCACTTTGTGCGTTGATGCTTTGGCTAACTCGGCTGTGTATTTTTATATGTTGGAATAATTTGTTTTATGTAATGTATCCGTTTTTATTCTGTAGTTAGTCCCCACTTCGGTTTTATCATGTATATCTATTATATAGTAATTTTATAAAATTTACTTTTTTGCAAAATTATAAATTATTCTAAATAATAAGGATGTTCTTGTCCCAGGCAGAAAACCCTGGCCGTGTTAGGCGCAACTTTTTGGAAGTTTTGGTCCTCGGTGCTCTTCGGCTTTGTACTTGTTTTGGCTTTCAAGCTTTTTTCATCTGAGCGTCACTGGATGGTCTTGTTTGGACGAGTCGCACGTCTGGCGTATTGAATTTTAATCCTAGTACCTTTTGTTAGCTATTATTTGTGTGTTTCTTTGTCCTATATGTTCTCCCATTTATTTGTATTGTGGTCCTGTCATGTGATGTTGTCGTTAAAGCGGGAGGTATGGCATGCCACAAAACCAGGTTCAACCCACCATTTCTTAAAATGTCCTGTACCAAGTCAGGAAAATGGCCATTGTTATATTATAGTTCGTTTCTGTGTGTGTTACATTTTAATGTTGTGTTTTTGTTGTGTCGTTGTTCTCCTCTTATATTTGATGCGTTTCCCTCAGTTTTAGTTTGAAACCCGGATTTGTTTTTATCTCTATCGATTTATGAGTTTCGAACAGCGGTATACTACTGTTGCCTTTATCTACATCTTGGGTAGGTTGTATTTTTTTCATTTGTTGAGTTGGCATTTTTTTTTATCGAGAACTAACCTATGCATGAACCGTCCAGAAAACCTGTTCATGTTCAACCTTCATGTTTAATAAAAAAAACTACTGATATTTCTAAACTGCATTTTTATCCCCAGTTTTCTTTTTGGTTCTTGCAGCTTTATATTCAGTTATCTGTGAAGTGGTTTTCGTATGTTGATTCATTTTAAGCTCACATGGCCCAAAGGGCCAAGTGAGCTTTTCTCATCACTTGGCGTCCGTCGTCCGTCGTCGTCTGTCGTCCGTCGTCGTCTGTTAACTTTTACAAAAATCTTCTCCTCTGAAACTAGTGGGCGAAATTTAACAAAACTTGGCCACAATCATCATTGGGGTATCTATTTTAAAAAATGTGTCCGATGACCCGGCCAACTAACCAAGCTGGCCGCTATGGCTAAAAATAGAACATAGGGGTAAAATATAGATTTTGGCTTATATCTCTGAAGCCAAAGCATTTAGAGCAAATCTGACTGGTGTAAAATTGTTCATCAGGTTAAGATCTATCCGCCCTGAAATTTTCAGACGAATCGGATAACCCGTTGTTTGGTTGCTGCCCCGGAATTGGTTATTTTAATGAAAGTTTGCAGTTTTTTTGTTATTATCTTGAATATTTTTATGGATAGAGATAAACTGTAAACAGCAATTATGTTCACCAAAGTAAGATCTACAAATAAATCAACATGATCAAAATGGTCAATTGACCCCTTAAGGAGCTATTGCCCTTTATATTCAATTTTTAACAATGTTTTGTAAATTTTTGTAATCTTACAAAAATCTTCTCCTTTAAAACTACTGAGACAAATTCAACCCAACTTGGTCACAATCATTATTAGGGTATCTTGTTTTAAAAAAATGTGTCCGATGAACCCACCAGCCAACCAACATGGCCGACATAGCTAAAAATAGAACATAGGGGTAAAATGCAGTTTTTGGCTTATATCTCTAAAACTAAAGCATTTAGAGCAAATTTGACATAGATAAAAATGTTCATCAGGCTAAGATATATTTGTTCTAAAATTTTCAGACAAATCAGACATACTGTTGTTAGGTTGCTGCCCCTGAATAAGTAATTTTAAGGAAATTTTGTTGGTCTTAGTTATTATTTTGATTATTATTATAGATAGAGATAAACTGTAAACAGCAATAATGTTCAGCAAAGTAAGATCTACAAATAAGTCAACAAGAACAAAATAGTCAATTGACCTCATTAGGAGTTATTGTCCTTTAAAGTCAAATTTTACAATATTTCGTAAATTTTTGTAATCTTTTACAAAGTCTTCTCCTGAAACAACTGAGATAAATTTAAATAAACTTGGCCACAAATAAGCATTAGGGTATTTAATTTTTAAAAATGTGTCCAATGACCCTGCCTGCCAACAAACATGGCCGACATGGCTAAACATAGAACATAGGGGAAACATGCAGTTTTTGACTTTTTTTCTCTGAAACTATAGCAAAAATATAACGGTTGAATTATTTCATGCATCAATTGTAAATAAAAATATCATGTGAGCGACACAGGCTAATTGGAGCCTCTAGTTTTAATGTATTTTTGCTTAACGATAGCAATTTCTATGTGGACAGTAAATGCATTTTGGACCTAAAACAAACATGCGAATGAAAACGTTCGAACGATTTATAATATCAAACTTTGTTGGTCAAACGTTTCATCTACACCAAAAGCATCAATAGCGCACACATTTAAACACTTTTAAACAACGAGTTAATAACAGTATGTTTTATCTCATCTAAACTTAGAGACTTTACAGGCATGATTAAAAAACCCAAAATTAAGGCGAAGTTTCAGTAAATATTAACGATAATTATATGTTGTTTAGTGATTGATACTGGGCACTTCAAAACTATTTTCATCGATCTTACAAAACGATAACAAAACGTTTGTATTGTTGCAGAAATAGAACAGGTTGTGATACGTTTCGCATGTTGTATAATATTAGTTATGTAAACTTTTATCTATTACATGTATTTTAATAGTACAAACAAAAATATATTGTTCCCTGATACCATTCATGTATATTACCTTGTAGACTAGCATAACCTTGATAAGATTTTGCCACGATTATATATTAATTTTACATCAGACCAAAGCTTTCTTTCGTCTTTCCTTCTCTAATATTTACTCTTTATCAACATATTCAAAGCGAAATTATACATAAAATTCTCAAAAATGATCTCGGAGTGTTATTTTTATGAATCCGTTATTAATTTAGAAATGATTGAAAACGCTTTTTTAATTCATTTTAAAAATATATTGATGTTCCCTTTGTACTGCCAATAAAAACAGATGAAGATATTTAATCCATTTTAACAGAAAACCCTCCACACAATAAAATGAATGGCAAAATTGCGTTTTACGCTTTTAACTAGAATTCTCGAAAAACTGAGCCCTGACTGAATCAAGACAAACAAGACAAAATAAAGCATAACATCAACAATTGAATCAGTTTATCCAGGTTTGCCTTACTGGCTACAAGTCTTACTTGATCTCCCTATCTCATGCCAGCAATCAATAAAATGTCTCAACTATATTTGTTTTAAAGAGATTCCAGTAATTTCTTGCACGTTCCAGACTGAATCATACACACAATATTTACTATTTCCTTCGAGGGAATAGTTAAAGAGATATGATTTAATATAAAAAATCCGCATGATTGGATTATTTCAAATGAATTCTACTTTTGCAGATTAATTACGAAGAGAATGTCTGAACAACAAGATATCCCTGATTGTGAGGCAAGCACAACAGAAGATCATGATAACCCTGTAGAAAACAGTAGGTTTTTGAATAAATGTATAAGCGACACATATGTTTTATAGAAATCAATGTCCCAAGTCGATATTAAACGAGAACGTAAACGGAAATATTAAATGACAAAACCAAAATCATGATAAATTTCAAGCGATTATACGTGGTTAAAAGCAGGTATATAATCAGACATTTGTACATGTAGCAGAATACCTTAATTGATATTTTTTATTTAATCGTGACTGATGAGTTTTTTTGGAAGATGAACAACGTAAATTCTGATATCTATGATGTTATTTGAAACATCCAATTTATTTAAACAAAAATTATGTTATTGGCAAAAACGTAATTCAAATTTATCTACTCCATATATTTTGAGTTTGGTGTATTGAAACATATCGGATAATATCTGTGCAGTCCATTTATAGACTTGCAAGTGTACTTGTACATTGTTGAATTAAGCAATACATTTAAATTTCAGATAAATTCAAGATGTAGTTGCACACGAAAATACTTTTGCAACTTGTTTGCTTAATTAAAAGAATTGTTATTCAGACATTACCAATAATTTCCTTGACATTTATGCTGATGGGACTTGAATACTAAAATGTTTACCACAAGGTAGACTTTTACCTATTGTATCATAAATGTATGTTGAATGCTTTTGCACTAGTAATTTTTGGAACCCTTTATAGCTTGCTCTTTCGTGTGAGCTAAGGCTCCGTGTTGAAGGCCTTACTTTGACCTATAATTGTTTGCTTTTAAAAATTGTGACATGGATTGAGAGTTGTCTCATTGCACTAATACCGCATCTTCTTATATCTATGTGTATTCTTTCCTGTTTACTTTAAATCTTAATTTATTGTTATTCAAATTCGGGTTGTAAAACAGATAAGCATACACATTCTATATTGATTCTGTATATTTAGAAAATAGAGATATGTCTTTGGATACAGTATCTACAGACGAAAATTCTCCTGTTCTGACGCAAGAGGTAGAAAACACAGGTACTGATTTTGAAATTAACAGTTGGGTTTAAAAAAAGAGACAATACAATAATTAAAGTGTGTTCATAAGGTAATCAATGTTTTTGTTTATGCCACTTCCATCCCAGCAGTTCATGGGTCAATTGAATACAAACCTGTCAGAACACTACTTCCTTTACCACAGAGATAATTCATGTAACCAATTATATTAGATATCGTAGTTTGTGTAAAGATAGAAAGACAAATAGTTAAGTGGTAAATCATTTATTACTTTAACTTGATGATTTGGAAATTGATTACAAGTAAAGTACAGGCAGTTGCAATAACATATAGATATTGCTTTGATAGGAATTACACACAGCGAATAAGATGAAAAAAACCATCACTACCTTCATTCATGTATACTTATGCAAAGGTCTTTTTTTGTTGGTACCACAATTGAAACACTTTAAATATCTTCTGTGTAATTCATTTCAGAAAATTAAACATATATATTGATTCAGACAAATTACTATCTGAACAGAGATAAAGAAAAAAGGTTTACATTCCTATCTTGAACCTATAAAAAATCTAATCAAATCAAGATTTTATTTAATCTTATAAGAAAAAAGGTTAACATTCCTATCTTGAACCTATAAAAAATCTAATCAAATCAAGATTTTATTTAATCTTATAAGAAAAAAGGAGCACATATGTCATTTAAAATTAGTTGTTAATAATTACAAACTTTACTAATTGGGTTTTCTTATACGTTAAAACATATTACTTTATCGGCAGCAAATGACAACCAAAACCAAGAAGAAGCTTATTTCTACGGTAAGTTTTATTCATCTATCTTCATGTCAATGACATAGCTAAGTCAAAGGTAAGGTTGCACAGCTAAAGTACTCTTTAATCAAAGGTAAGGTTGCACAGTTAAAGTCAATGTATGTCACAAATAAAAACCTCTTATTCTGTCAATGGATTTAATTAGGTAAAGGTCTATTTTCAATTGGTATACATGAGTGTGTAACATATCTGTGGTCATTTGTGATATTTGATATTTTCCATTACAGTATTTCTGGTAGTGAATACGTTCGTAAAACGTTTAAAGATAAGATTTCACCTTAACCACACCCTTATAAGAAGCAATGATCTTCATTTATAAACGTGAATAAACGTGTCAACCTTTAAAAACAGTCATGCAAATGAAATATAAAACAGAAACTATATAACGTTTAACTAGTTTTAAAAATTTCATCTAAACTGCTGAGTAGATTAATGAGGACAAGAAGAAAAAAAACCGGTTTATTATTTTCTAAATTTGCCTATATTTATATATTAAACAAAAAATCAATTTAACATGTAGTATTTTGAACATTGAAAAGAAAATTCATTTAGATTAAGGATACATTGTGCGTCATTGATATACACATATTTTCCGTATATCTGTTTAACATTTATGGGTAAATTGAAATGGAAAGATCTTGAAACGAGACAATATGCATGTTCCACCTTTTCATAACTTTTGTGTAACCGTAAACATGAATCTATATATATGATGTTTCCCACGAGGGCACTGTATCGTTACGAGTAACGATACATGTACATAACAAATACATTATATAAACGTCTAAAAAGTTTACAAAACAACACCAGAAACTAAAAAAGGAAACTATGAATGTAATTATTTTTAAATATTTCGGATAACAGATATCCTTCATCAGTATGATTATGATGTTAAGTGAATCATATCAATCTACTTTGATTAAATTATAACAATCTTGAAATTTATATATATGATAAATAAGAGTTTAAAGTCAATGAATCGATTTTTTTTTATTGTATATACTTTATGCTTCTGTTGTCATATAATTGAAAAAAGGAAGAGTAGCACCTGGCAAATTTTGTTTAACAACCACCAGTAAACAAACTGTAATATGAAACTGTCATTTTGATCTGAACAGCTCATAAAAAACTGAACAAAACCTTGTAATACAGTTATGTTTAGTTTTTCAGTCAATATACAGACATATGCCACTGCATTCAAGTCATTACTATTCAGATCATTCGCTTGCAAACAATTAAGATCTGTTCAGACAATTACCACTATATATTTTCCTGTACAGATCAATAGAATACTGCAAGCGAATAGAATTTACTTAAAGACTGAACACGACTAAATTATTTAAACCGCAGACTGTTCAGATATTGTTAAGCTATAAATGTCAAACTAACATTCGTTTACTTGTGAAAAATACATGTGCTTTACTTGAGACAGATACAATATTTTTTTTTAATTATGAAAACCAAAATGTTACAGTCAATTTTTAAACACCAATTTATGATAAAGTGAAGAAAAATTCAATTAACTTGTAGGACAAAGAGAGCAAGGCGATGTTCGATTAGTGCTATTGGGAAAAACCGGGTCGGGAAAAAGTGCAACTGGAAATACAATTTTGGCAAAAAAAGAGTTTCTGTCTAAGACCTCCGGATCATCTATAACGGAACAATGTCAACGAGCCGAAAACCGTATTGCTAATCACAGATTAATAGTTGTCGACACTCCTGGTTTATATGATACCAAACTATCAAAAGAAGAAACCACGCTAGAGATCATCCGTTGCCTTCGCATGTCAGCACCTGGACCCCACGCTTTTTTGCTTGTTCTTAGATTAGATCGCTTCACACAAGAGGAAATCGACACATTCACGGATTTGTTTGATTTATTCGGAGAAAAAATGAGTTCGTTTGCAATTCTTGTTTTCACTAAATTGGATGACTTGGAAGGAGAAGATACAAGTATTGAAGAATTTATCAATAGTTCAAACAAACACCTAAAAGACATCATTTCCAAAGTTGACGGAAGATATATTGCATTTAACAACAGAGGAACAGACGAACAAAAGAGGCAACAAGTTGCAAATATAACTAAAATATTAGACGAAATGATAAAGACGAACGATGGAAAATATTATACAAATAAAATGTATAAAGATGCAGAAACTGAATTGCAGAGAACGATTAAAGAAATTAAAAACCAAAAAACATTAGAAAAACAGAAAGAAATCGAACAAATTGTATCAACATTCAAAGATAAAATCACAGACATTGAAACTAGTTACAAACTGCTAAAGGAAGAACACGCCAAAATCCAGTCAGAAAAAGAGAAATCACAAAGTACACTACATGATATGCAACTGACAATGACCCAAATGAAAAAAGATCATGATAAAAAATTATTCGAAGTCATACAAGAAGCAAAGAGGATGGAAGAAACAAATATGGAAGAACTGCGATTGCGAGAAGAGGAAAATAAAAGACTGATAAATGAGATGAAAATGGAACAAGCGGAAGCTGAGGAACGGATGCGAATATTAGAAAACCTCAAACAAAGTGCCCTCAACGAGTGTTTTCATTCTTTGATGAAACAATCAATCGAAACTTTGATAACCGAGTTAACGAGTGGTTCGAGTAAAAAAACACAAGGTGAAAATGAAACAAATAAAGAATTGAGGAAAATGTTGAATGAATCCACTTTGAAGATGATGCAGATTGAAGAAAGAGATAGGAAACATCGTGAATATTTGGAAGAAACCTCACAAAAAAATAATCGTGATTTAATAAGTAAGGATCTTAAAATCAGTCAACTCGAGAGTCAATTAAACAGTAAAAGCAGCTGCTTGATAATGTAAAACAATTTTTCAGTTATATAATCCTATTTGATGCAAATCCTACATCCTTGAAAGATGGCTTTTCTTACATTTTCTTTATTTATATTTTTGAATTTATTGAAAAAAAAAATAATAATTCAGTGTCTTTTGTAACCCGGCTCCCTTAAAAAGTAGAGGAAGTTATTTAAGGGAGAATCAAATATATGCATTACAGTAGTAAATAAACAACAGCACAAAACAAAACCCAGAAAATTAAAACATTGAAACATGCTGGTCGTCATCTGTTTTATTAGCAACACTCTTTTAAAGAAATGCTGAAAGGTAATGCAAGGATTAAAATATCTTATCAACATTATCAACTTCTAGATAAATTTCTAGAATCTATATG